TCAGGCATAAAAAAGCATGTTTCAACATCTTCAAACCAAGTTCAGATGAAAAAAATTAACTGTCTGAAAATTTCAGACATGGGCCTCCATGAGAAAAACAAATCTTCGAAAATTAATTCGTGACATATTCGTCAGCGAATTGGTGCCAGCAGCCTTCTCTTTTTCATACAATAAATAATTCTGCCTTAAAAACTTGTAGCACTGAAATAAACTTCTTCCAAACTTGCTGACAATATATAAACCTTTTGAACCGACCCCAGCATGGTGGCCATTGAAAGAAAATTTTCAGGTCAGCCCTGTCAGTCTGCCCGATTCTTCTCCTCCATCTATAAAACGATTGACTGCATTCGAACAGATTCGCACGAGCCGCTCGGTGATTTACCGAAACAAACGATTGTACATTACAGTCCTCGCGAAAATTTAATCGCTCGCAGCCGCAAAAAAAGAAATAAAGAAAACAAAAGTAATCGGAAACATTTGACACGCGTGGCGCGAGAAGATAGCAAGGGCATCACACATTGTGAAATGTGACGATAGACGCGAGCGATTCAAAGCCGTTGTCTGCGTTGTCAAAACGATTGCTCAAGCATTCCGCATCACGAATCCGAGACGAGATAATGAACATGCATGCTGGGCATGCCATCTGCCCGACGAGCCGCCAATCGCTGTAGAAAGTGTGCGTCCAGACAATGACGCGGAATCGAATCGACCACGATGACGGGCTTTCCCAAGCAAATCGTCGATTATTCGACCACTGGACGGAGATCGAGTAAACCACGCAAGAAACAAGCAACAACACACCAACACAATACAGTTCGAATATAACCCGAGAAAAGAGAGACGAGGGCATTCCGAAACGAAGACCGTCACGCGATTATACTTATAACCGAACGGGGCACCTCAAAAGTCTTGCGAACGCACCAACAAAAAAAAACATCCTTTTGCAGAAATAAAACATAACTATCCATTTACTGCTACTGTATAATGATTGCTGGTTTATGACACGCACAAAAATTCATCGCATTCGGGACTCCCGGAAAACACGCGAATATAAATAAACAATTTATAAATTTCATTTAACGCGAAGGAAACTATTAAAAATATTTTTTTTACCTCGTTGGCAACCTTTCCGTCAAAAAAGACTTTAAAAAATTGAATACGGACTGTCTCTTGGGTCTTTCAGTCACAAAATTACCAAAAAGCAAAAAAAAAATCAATGATAGAACATCGCTTAGTCACAATCGTACTGTCTGCGACTTTCCTGAAGGAGAGTGCGCAAAAATGGAATTTATATTGAAAATGTGCTCAATCTGAACACAATCGGTTAAAGAGAACAGATGATAAAATATGTTGAAGATGTGACGAAGTCTGATAAGAGAAACTTTAGCCCAAAAGAACATCGCTGACAAATTGAAAATTTTCTTGGTTCATGAAAAGGATCAACTAATTAAACGTTCCTCATGTTTCTCATGGCGTAGTGGGATTTTCAAAAATGAACCATAAATTAGTTGTACTGTAGTAAATATTTTGCATTCAACTTCAAAGACCATGTGAAGCACGAGAAGTTCTCGGAGATTCTCCTCATAAGTCTGCTAGTGGCTTTCGAATTCACTAGCATCCACGCTTTCGTCAGCCGGAAAATATTTNTTAGATGAACCCAAATACTTGACACGGGATGCACATCATCAGAAAGATAGACACGAAGAAGCAAGTATCCAAGACCAGTTGAAGGTTAAATTAAGTTAAGCTTCACGTGAATTCGATCAGATGTTTGTTTCGCTATTCGCTTTTTTTTTTATAGCACTAGCTGTTATCAGGATCGTTCATTTTTTTCTCAAGTCTCGAGGACAATTTATTTTCGAGGTAAAAATGTTTACTAGAAAATAATCCGTAACGCAATTTCCGAAATTATCATGTAATCCGCACATAGTTACATTTGTATACCGTATTTATATTCCGATATATTTCTTGCGAATTGAAATAATCCGTACTTCTTTCATTCCTTCCATAACCTCGATCAACATTCCGATAATCCCGATTCGATTTGTGTTGACCACTGGAACCGACATGTCATTTCCCCGAGTTGAAAATTTTGATTTACTTTACAGTACGTACGAGTACCGTATGTCGAAATATTCGAAATCTCGTTCTCTAATTGCAGAAAAATTAAAAATTGAACTCGTTAAAAATAAGGTTAAAAAAATCCCGGCTTAGCACAAAACCAATTCTGTACTGACTTTCAAGTAATAAACGTTATTGTTCAATAAGAAACTAGGTGACGAAATTTCCAACGTGACCTTAGGAATGGGACATTAATTTGTCTTCGAACTATTCTCACCGAACAAAAATAGCCCAGATTTCGTCAGCCGATTCCCTCTATATACAACCCTGGACATTCGAAACGCCAGTGCAACACTGGTTTTCTAATATTATGATCAAAGCTGAAATTTCTGCGTCACTTTCTCCGACAATCTTCGCAATCCAAAGCTTTTTCCACCACCAGACAGATGCAAAATTCAACTCGTTGAGATTTGGAAGAAAACACCGACTTTCACTCATAAAAAACGCATTTCATTGAATTATACTTTAACAAGGGCGAACAAAGAAATTGAATCGCATAACAATTTTATTCTGGCATCGAGGTGAAATCGAGAAAAATCATACTGCGGACAATATAATCTCACAGATTTATAGCAACGATCCTTAGAAGAAGAAAGAACTTTTTTGACTGCTCAAATGCGCTACTGTGCATGGAACTTTTAAAAATGACGGAAATTGCTTCTATTTCCTACAAAAACGAGCGCAAAAAATATTAGAAGTTTTGAAACTTATACTGTATTATGGCGTGGCAGTAAAACATTTATTGAGCGAAAACACTTTCCATTTTCAAGATTTTTCTTCGCCTTGCAAAAAAAAAGTTAACTTTCTGAAAAAAGAAAGAATACCTGAAAAAAGTATGTCTCGTCTCATCGGTACTGGACGATATCGACAGCACAAATTGAACGAAGCTTTCTGATTTGGTATTCCGGTGAAAATTGCATCAGTCAAAATTAGTGTGCATTTTCAAGTCAAATTTCAACTTCGAGGAAGTATTCTCTCATGAATGGGGTATTTCACCCTGAAAAAATTCGTAAGATGCGTAAATACTTCCATCTCCAGAATGAGCAACGATTAAGCAATACGAGTACGCGAGGTGAAGTCAGAGTAGTTCCATACAGAACCTCGTCATTCTGCTTCTATATAGCAGCGGAATTATTACTTCCGGAGTATATATAGTTCCTTTAAGATTATTCTGTTTTTTTAAAGATGTAAAAAAAAAGTACAAGGGAAAAAAAAATATTTCGAAGCTCTCTGTTAATCCCACCTACTCTTGCGCACTCGCGTTCCCGAGACGTATCACGTTTCCCGGGGGGATTGAATGGACCGACGACATTGACACAACCGGAGCGAAGCTGACGTGCGCTCAGATTTATGTACATATTGAGTAAGCCGTTGCGACACGGAAATCAAACATTCTGTACGTCAGAAGTTACGACGACGAGTTACAGTTACACCAATCGGAAAGAACAAAATAAATAAAAAGACGAACGACTCAGTTCAGCGCGTGAAAATTAAATTCTGCTCGGCGATCGGAAAAAAATAATACCCCCTCCTTCTCTCACACAGCTGCAAATTTTCCATTGCCACCCTTTTTTCGAGTGTTTTCGCACTCACGTTCCACCAGGAAGTCGCAATAGGTGTCTGAAAATACCCGATGAGTCAACAAGGAAATTTTTCTGGCACGATTCCATCGTTATAATTTTATTTAAATGTTCTTTCGCGATTTAAAACTATTTGTTCACTAAAAACAAGGCCAAACTAAATGAGCGTCGTGGTGCTCGAAAATACATGTACAGTACAGTACTTCACAGCTGAAAAGAACGCGTCGACATGGTGCATCATAATATTTTTCCCGAATTTTAATAAAAATATTTCTCAAATGATTTAAGCACGTACAAAAAAAAACTAGAAGTTCATTCAAATTGAGACAATGGAAGCCGCTCTTTGCCACTGCTACAATTGTTCATTCGGTAGAAAAACTGCATTAAGTTTTGAAAAATATCGGAGATTTGAGTAATACAGTCGTATCACTTTGAATATAGGAAATGACGTTCCCTGATATTGACTGAATATACTGTACAGTATATCATTTATGGGATACAAAATTTTAAAAAACCCTAAAATGATCCCATCACTTTAAGTTACGTAGTCGCTTTCTCTCCAACTTATTTCTAATGTCAACGAAGGTCAAATTAATGGCACCAAAATTTTAGAAGTGCATATCATTTAAACGATAACGCGATGAGTATTTCTTTCAAGTCTTTCTTCAACAATACAATGAGATTGCGGAAACCATTCAGGTGATGCGTATTTTTACTCAAGAATTATTCTCCTTTTCTGTTCGACCCTGTATTTTCTATTGCGGTTCATAACGAAAAAAAAATACTGACTTCACCGATGACAGTTATCGCGAGTACTTATCGAATTCTCGCGACTCGTCATTCTTCCAATGGTCCCAGGCGAATAAAATCAGGAAACGTTCGTCAGCAGCTACCGAAAACTCACCTGCAAAAAATAAAACGAGACAAACCACAGTTAAAAATGCGTCAATTCACAGAGCAATCATGATTTTTCAAAATATTTTTTCTGAAGCAATAATCAAATCAACGGATTATTATTTATTGAATGTGATTCAGAGGACGACGAGAAAACACCTTCCATTTTCTGGAGAAGGCCACCAAAATATTTTTTTAAATGACTGTAGTAAGAATAAGTTTGTAACGTGATAAAAAATCAAGCCACGTTTTGGATTCAGAATCTCGGTCATACCGTAACGTCGTCATCCGGGATGTCGAACATAAAATTTATGTTCGACCTTGCAGCAGTGAGTTACGATTTTGTTGCCAGTTTCATTTTAATCGAACGTGATCGAAGATGCGAGAGAACTCCGCATTTTCAAGTCAAATCATCTTCAAGTCCTTCGACAAAAAAAATACTAATAAAAAGATAGAGCGATTAAAGAACGAAGCAGAAAATACACTTAAAAAAGAAAACATTCCTTCGGAGGAATAATCCCGAAAACTTGTTAGATGGACGAAACTGGAATTACGTCATCCGCTCGCCAGGAATTATCGCAGACGCCGATGAATGAAGCATCAATCAACCAGGTTAATTTGCTTCCGTTCACCGACTTTCGTTAGCAGCGTTGAATGAAGAGAAAAACCGAAACAGTTCTAAAGGCAGCTTTTTCTTCAGCAACGTGGTTCAGTTCGGCAACCCACGTCATCGGCGGGTGCCCAGGGGGCAAATCATTTTTAAATGCTTTCCAGGAAGGGAAAACGTTCAGTTCAGACACACCCGTCTGACTCGCGACGGAAATCTGATTAAGGGCCTGGGCATGAAAGCTTCTGGTTGAATATCGGACCGCGCAATCGCCTGGATATACAGTACAGTACAGTATATGAACACGGAGAAACAAACTTTCCCTGTGGTTAACCCAATTTAGCAGCCGTCCGATTTAAATTCGATGAAACGACAATATCCGGGTGATTCTTACACAGATAACTCATCGCTTTCCATCGTGCTCTAGTATGATTTTATAGTTCATCGTTCAATTTGCTAGAATGGTTGACGGAGGGGAAAAAAACCACGACGGATGCGGGTTAAAAACTCAGCACAATAAAAACATAGTGCGTTCAAAAATCCTGAATGTATTACACTTTCCCTCATAAATCGGAATAGGTACATTATTGACAATTCACAAAAGAAGATTGCAATACAGTTGTTTTCATATTTGTAAAAATTTTCTTTCGCTTGACTGATCTTCCTCTCGGAAATTTCACAGATTTTAATGAAAGAAAATTGATTAGAAAATCTTAGCAGTTTACAAAACAGGACTCTGGGAATAAAAACTTCTTGCATAGAAAAACAAACGTCAAGATCGCCAAGCATATAAATCTGGGACATTACCAAAACACACGGAAAGCAAATTAAAATGACGAAAGCAGCATCAGTACAACAAAAAATCAGAGAAACACGCGCAAAATTATTTCGTGAAAATTTTAATAAGCTCTTCTAAATTTTTCCTTTCACGAAATTCGTTCGCTTTAGTTTGCACCGACTGCATTCATCCGGAAGTTGCTTTTTAATGTTTTTCACAACACGTAACTTGACTTTTCCGCATTTGTGTGAGAATGATGCACGTTTACTTTCCGTGAGAAATCGACTAAAAAAATATCCGTGAGAAATCGACTCACACACACACACACACAAACATAAAACCCCAGGTTGATAGTGTTTGAATATGAAACAAAAAGTAAATGCGAACTGCAGTCAACTCATTAAAGGTTACTGTCGTATAGAGATAGTAAAACCGTGGGACTACGTCTCTCAGTTCGGACGTGAATGGAGCGCTGAAATGCCGCAAGGTTCCCGTTTATAGTAACCCGAAGTACTATCTTTACCCAGCTAGATTATGACTTATCTTGGGAGTACAGCAATTTAATTCGTATCTCGTCATCTTTAAAGTGTACGTTCCTTTCCGTGATAATTCGTTGGAGTTTTCGACATTTATTCATATTGAATCGGGAGCCTCAGTGAGACACAGGCAAGAAACTTTTAAGGCGTGTCGCAAAAACAATTGAGTGCGCTCGCAAAAAATGAAAAACACACTAAAGCAAATATTTCGAATGAAAATATAACGAGCCTGTAATACTGCATTATTAGAAGCGAAGGTGCTAAGACTGATAGAATTCTCCTATCATTCATGATGATGTCTGACATTGGGAGCAAAAATAAATATTGATTGCTTTAAAGTCTAAACCGTTATCTGATGTTTCGGAACGGTTCCGCTGTTATTTTACGACGCTGCTTTGGACATCAGCAATTTTGGGCCACGCTCATCTGGTCAGTCACGTTAAAACGACAATAAACAAATACATTTTAGCCTCCAGAACTCGAACCTCCATAAGCGGAATTTTTTCCAAGCCTCTGTCTGAATCCCCTTGAAAACAATGAATTTAAAACCTACCTAACTCTAAGACTTTCCCTCTCAAACCTTTATAATTCGAATTTTTTTAGAGGCCTTTTGGATATTCATTTATTGACAAAGGGAAGAGAAAAATCAATAAAATTTAACTTGGTGGTTTTTGAAAGGAAGTGAAAGATTAATTGGGTAAATGAACCCTTGCCTTCAAGTTTCAGCATCCTGTCAACTCATTTAAAAAGCAATTTAAGACCCATAATATCATTACTGACAATTTCCTGCAATTTTTTCTTTCCCCAAACAAAAATGCTTGCTTCCCTGACTCGTAGCCTCTTTAACTCAAACCGGACTTTGTTTGCTGGTCCCTTGAAATTCTACTCAAAGAGGTTCGACTTCACAAAGTTTCACGGAACCTTTTTTCGAGTGTTTTCGCACTCACGTTCCACCAGGAAGTCGCAATAGGTGTCTGAAAATACCCGATGAGTCAACAAGGAAATTTTTCTGGCACGATTCCATCGTTATAATTTTATTTAAATGTTTTTCTTGCGATTTAAAATTATTTGTTCACTAAAAACAATGCCAAACTAAATGAGCGCCGTGGTGCTCGAAAATACATGTACAGTACTTCACAGCTGAAAAGAACGCGTCGACATGGTGCATCATACAATTTTTCCCGACTTTTAATAAAAATATTTAATAAAAATATTACGTCAAGCACGTAAAATAAACACTAGAAGTTCATTCAAATTGAGACAATGGAAGCCGCTCTTTGCCACTGCTTGCTACAATTGTTCATTCGGTAGAAAACTGCAATAAATTTTGAAAAATATCTGAGATTTGAGTAATATACCGTAGTATGGCTTTAAATATAGGAAACGTCGTTCCCTGATATTGATTGAATATACTATACAGTATATCATTTATGGGATACAAAATTAAGAAAAAACCCTCAAATGATCCTATCACAGTAAGTTACATGTTCGTTTTTTTTCGACTTATTTCTAATGTCAACGAAGGTCAAATTAATGGCACCGAAATTATAGAAGTGCATATCATTTAAACGATAACGCGATGAGTATTTCTTTCAAGTTTTTCTTCAACAATACAATGAGATTGCGGAAGCCATTCAGGTGATGCGGATTTTCGCTCAAGAATTACTTCTCCTTTTCTGTTCGACCCTGTATTTTTTATTGCGGTTCATAACGAAAAAAAATACTGACTTCACCGATGACAGTTATCGCGAGTACTTCTCGAATTCTCGCGACTCGTCATTCTTCCAATGGTCCCAGGCGAATAAAATCAGGAAACGTTCGTCAGCAGCTACCGAAAACTCACCTGCAAAAAATAAAACGAGACAAACCACAGTTACAAATGCGTCAATTCACAGAGCAATCATGATTTTTCAAAATATTCTCTCTGAAGCAATAATCAAATCAGCAGATTATCATTGATTGAATGTGATTCAGAGGACAAGAAAACACCTTCCATTTTCTGGAGAAGGCCACCAAAATATTTTTTTAAATGACTGTAGTAAGAATAAGTTTGTAACGTGATAAAAAATCAAGCCACGTTTTGGATTCAGAATCTCGGTCATACCGTAACGTCGTCATCCGGGATGTCGAACATAAAATTTATGTTCGACCTTGCAGCAGTGAGTTACGATTTTGTTGCCAGTTTCATTTTAATCGAACGTGATCGAAGATGCGAGAGAACTCCGCATTTTCAAGTCAAATCATCTTCAAGTCCTTCGACAAAAAAAATACTAATAAAAAGATAGAGCGATTAAAGAACGAAGCAGAAAATACACTTAAAAAAGAAAACATTCCTTCGGAGGAATAATCCCGAAAACTTGTTAGATGGACGAAACTGGAATTACGTCATCCGCTCGCCAGGAATTATCGCAGACGCCGATGAATGAAGCATCAATCAACCAGGTTAATTTGCTTCCGTTCACCGACTTTCGTTAGCAGCGTTGAATGAAGAGAAAAACCGAAACAGTTCTAAAGGCAGCTTTTTCTTCAGCAACGTGGTTCAGTTCGGCAACCCACGTCATCGGCGGGTGCCCAGGGGGCAAATCATTTTTAAATGCTTTCCAGGAAGGGAAAACGTTCAGTTCAGACACACCCGTCTGACTCGCGACGGAAATCTGATTAAGGGCCTGGGCATGAAAGCTTCTGGTTGAATATCGGACCGCGCAATCGCCTGGATATACAGTACAGTACAGTATATGAACACGGAGAAACAAACTTTCCCTGTGGTTAACCCAATTTAGCAGCCGTCCGATTTAAATTCGATGAAACGACAATATCCGGGTGATTCTTACACAGATAACTCATCGCTTTCCATCGTGCTCTAGTTTGATTTTATAGTTCATCGTTCAATTTGCTAGAATGGTTGACGGAGGGGAAAAAAAACCACGACGGATGCGGGTTAAAAACTCAGCACAATAAAAACATAAGTGCGTTAAAAAATCCTGAATGTATTAAAATTTCCTTCATAAATCGGATTTGGTACATTATTGACAATTCACAAAAGAAGATTGCAATTCAGTTTTATTCATATTTGTAAAACTTTTCTTTCGCTTGACTGATCTTCCTCTTGGAAATTTCACAGATTTTAATGAAAGAAAATTGATTAGAAAATGGTAGCAGTTTACAAAACAGGAATCTGGAAATATAACCTTCTTGCATAGAAAAACAAACGTCAAGATCGCCAAACATATACATTTTGGAAATTGCCAAAACACTCGGAAGCAAATTAAAATGGCGAAAGCAGCATCAGTACAACACAAAATTAGAGAAACACGCGCAAATTATCTCGTGAAAATTTTAGTACGCTCTTTTGAATTTATTCTTTCATGAAATTCGTTCGCTTGAGTTTGCACCGACTGCATTCATCCGGAAGTTGCGTTTTAATGTTTTTCATAACACGTAACTTGACTTTACCGCATTTGTGTTCGAATGCTGCACGTTTACTTTTCGTGAGAAATCGACTAAAAAAAATATCCGTGAGAAATCGACTCACACACACACACACACACACACAAACATAAAACCCCAGGTTGATAGTGTTTGAATATTAAACAAAAAGTAAATGCGAACTGCAGTCAACTCATTAAAGGTTACTGTCGTATAGAGATAGTAAAACCGTGGGACTACGTCTCTCAGTTCGGACGTGAATGGAGCGCTGAAATGCCGCAAGGTTCCCGTTTATAGTAACCCGAAGTACTATCTTTACCCAGCTAGATTATGACTTATCTTGGGAGTACAGCAATTTAATTCGGATCTCGTCATCTTTAAAGTGTACGTTCCTTTCCGTGATAATTCGTTGGAGTTTTCGACATTTATTCATATTGAATCGGGAGCCTCAGTGAGACGCAGGCAAGAAACTTTTAAGGCGTGTCGCAAAAAAAAAAATTAAGTGCGCTCGCGAAAAATGAACCAAATGAATCAACACACACTAAAGCAAATACTGTATTTCGAATGAAAACAGAACGAGCCTATAATACTGCATTATTAGAAGCGAAGGTGCTAAGATGATAAAATTCTCCTTTCGTTCATGATGATGTCTGACATGGGAGCAAAAATAAATATTGATTGCTATAAAGTATGAACCGTTATCTGATGTTTCGGAACGGTTCCGCTTTTATTTTACGACGCTGCTTTGGACATGAGCCGTTTTGGGCCACGCTCATCTGTTCAGTCACCTTAAAACGACAATAAGCAAATACAATTTAACCTCCATAAGCGGAATTTTTCCAAACCTCTGTCTGAATCCCCTTGAAAACAATGAATTTAAAACCTACCTAACTCTAAGACTTTCCCTCTCAAACCTTTATACTGTAATTCGAATTTTTTTAGAGGTCTTTTGGATATTCATTTATTGACAAAGGGAAGAGAAAAATCAATGAAATTTAACTTGGTGGTTTTTGAAAGGAAGTGAAAGATTAATTGGGTAAATGAACCCTTGCTTTCAAGCTTCAGCATCCTGTCAACTCATTTAAAAAGCAATTTAAGACCCATAATATCATTACTGACAATTTCCTGCAATTTTTTTCTTTCCCCAAACAAAAATGCTTGCTTCCCTGACTCGTAGCCTCTTTAACTCAAACCGGACTTTGTTTGCTGGTCCCTTGAAATTCTACTCAAAGAGGTTCGACTTCACAAAGTTTCACGGAACGAGATGAGAAAGTCCTTGCAAGAGTGGAACAAAATCAACTGTGAAAAGGGTGGAGACCGTCCAAGGAAACCCAAATTACGCATCTTTGAACCACAAGCCCGGAATCTTATCACAAAACCAGGGCCCAGTCGGTGGAAATTAGTGTAATACACTCAGACGCACGACGACCTTTCGAATATTCGACTCGGGAGAATCATATAAAGTAAGAAAGAAAAAATACAATCCTATACCACAATCACACTCCAGATAAAACAAAGGTTGCCGATAACCTTCCACAGCTCCGGAAAATTGCACTGGTCGACACGCGAACCGTCCGTCAATCTTTCTCCGTTCTATGAACTATGCCCGTACTAGGCAACGTATATCGGTGACCGTGAAACTTCAACCAAGCGGGAAGAAAAAAAAACCTTAAACAAACCCCCTTCAGTATACACTCCATCGATCCGCAGCCTCCTTGAGAAGTTGAAGTACGTAGAAGGGTCGACGTAGGATGAGCTTTAGAGGGTACTTGAGCGAGATTCAAGTACTTTTCAAAGCAAGTTCGGCGGGTGATTCGACAAGGGTACGCAGAAAGGAAGACAGTAAAACTGTCGCACTTCCTGGAATCCCCCCCCGTTATAATCATAAATCAGAACGGAACCCTAAGTTGTTTCCTCCAAAACAGTCAATTTTCTTCGCAAAAATTACTCTCTTTTTTTTTAAACCCCGAAGTGCCCTGCAACATTTTTACTTTAGACCGCTATATTGATTGGGAGATGTGGCATATAATACAGTCAAACCTCTGTAAGACGAATTTCAAGGGACCAGCAAAAAAATTAGATTAACAAACAGAGGTTTTGAGTTGGTGAGATTTTGAGTTAGGAAAACAAGCCTTTTTGTTGTGGGGAAACATAGGAGCATTTTAGGAAATTGTAAATGGTGATACTCTGGGCCTTAAATGGCTTCTTAAATGAGTTGACAGGAAAGCTGAACTTTAATGCGAGGATTAATTTTTCCCAATTAGTCTATTGCTTTCTTTCAAAACACATCGTTACTTTTTTATCGATTTTCTCTTCCCTCTTTCAAGACAATTATGACCAAAAGGCCTAAGAAAACTCGACATTCAAGAGGACACGCGTTTGTCTTTAAGAGGTTTCCAATGCATGGTTTCCAAGGAGATTCAGACGGGGACTTGAAAAAAACTCAACTTAGGCAGGTTTGACTTATTCACTTATCGAGGTTCAACTGTAATAGAGATCGTGTTCATGAAAAGAGATCAACAGGTGATTTAATTCTTGAGTGATTTCCTGGTGTATTTTTCAAGCTCTTCGGATACTGCATAAACTTAAGCCCAAGCCACGTGATCTTGGAACTAAAATGAACAAGAGGTAATTTTTGTTTTATTCACGCAAGGGCCAAATTTCCCCTCCCAAGAATTCCGGAATTTTCTGCAGCCCATCACAGCCTTTTTTTTCAAATGACTAACTATGCAGAATTTGGGTGTGTCCTAGCATCGTGTGAAAACCGAATTTACTGTAGGAAATCGTGTGAGAAAACAAGTACAGTATAAAAAATTCCAAGGACGAGGCTGGGAAACTTGGCTCTTATTAGCGAAGAAGCGAGTGGACACGCGAGGAGACTTCACTATATAAATGACCGGCGTCGGACGGGAACGAGATCTCGACAGTCAGGAACAAAAACTTCACCGAGAACACAAAGGAATTGGGTTCGAATGAGTTTCAGAAATTCAAATCGTTAATACCCCCCACTTGTGAGGTCAAAAACTATTCCTGAGCCGGTTGTCAGCGTCATTTCCAAGTGTAAACTAGATCGAAGGGCCCTCCAGTGAGCCTCGTGTGCAATGACGCAGTAACTTTTTACTGCACCCAAAAAAATCAACCAGTCATTTGCTTACGGGCCACAGAACGCATGAAAGTTTTAATTCTAAGCTCGTAAAACTCAAGTGTACTCGTTCGGGCATTGTAAACATCTGTCGTTGACAGAAGAGGTTTTTCTTTCCGACCCATCATCAAATTAGTTCATCCACCCAAAGACAATTTAAGAGCGATAAAACTGAACGCTCCATTCACTTGAAATTTACAATCTGACGTGAAGTCGTTCTTGAATGAAGCGTTTCATTGAGAAACCACGCACAACTGTAAAATATAAAAGAAAAGAAAAAAAACAATTTCGAACACAATAACCTAACATGCATGTCAAGTTACGTTTATATCTTCAAAAAGCTAGTCAACACCTCCCTGGTCCTCAAAATCACAATGGGATCAATGAAAAAGACCTTATTCGAAAGCCTCTGTTCACTTTCTGATGATTTTCTCAAACTTTTGCTTAGATTAAAGCATATTTTTGATCACAAATTTACATTTTACGACGAATTTCTCGCCTTCATATCAAGTATCACCGAAAACATTTTTGCAAGGAATTATACTTTTCTTCTTCTAATTAAGACTGCAAAATACGAGAAATTTCCGCCAAGAAGATTTTTATATTGCACTACAGAACCCAAAACATTGCGCAACCCTTGGATTGCCAGCAAATTCATATAAGAAAATATGAGTGCGGCAAATGCACTCATATTTGTTCTCTCAATGCAAA